TTTTTTTTTTTTTTTTTTAAGGGCCGTTGCGTAATGCAGTGTTCTGAATTTTATCTCTGTCCTCAACAACTTGTTGCATATGTGCACTTAACGTGAATGGCTTTTATCGTACTGTTATGCAATAAATCTGTCAGGTTGAATTTCCTGTTAGTGAGTCAAAAGGGAAACTGAACACTGATCTCTTTTAAATATAAATCAGACATCCCTCACGTATTCTGTGGCTTTATGTTTTTCAAGAAGAATGAAATGAGCTGACCTTTCTCTGACATTTGAAACACTTAAGCATCCAGCATATCCGTGATCCCTCCTTTAGTGTCCACATTTCCTTCTATTGTGAGATTGTAGGGAGAGCTAGTTAGTTAAAAGACACTGAAACCAAGAGGAGAAACGAGGGACTGTTCCAGCCCTGTTGATTTTCATTGCCAGGTGCTTGCACATGCTCATGCAGGAGGCCCGTGCTTTGCACGGTTCCCAGTGTGTGCTTTCCGGTCAACACCCACAGTGTGAAGCCAGGACTGTTTGTGTCTATATATGTATGTATGAATATATGTACGTATGTGTGTGTGCATGAATTTATTTTTATTTTTGAATGCATTTATTTTTCAGATATTTGAAAATGGTAAAGACACTGGAGAGATCTCTATTTGTATCAGCCCAAAAGATCTGGGGTCTAATAGCCCAAACCAAGCTGGCAATATGATGGAAAAAGTGAGTTTACTGATTATTTATTTATGACTCTAAGTGTCTTCCAAGTTACTTGTCCTTAATTTAGGTAATTACATCTTTAAAGTTATTTAGAAAAGATCAATCGTTTGCTGATCTGTAAAGATCGATAGTGTTAAGCTAGGCTTCTGAATTCCTTAGGCTCTCAGTTTTAGAATAGTATTAATTCCACACCTCTGAACAGCGTCTTAACCTTCGTTATGCTTGTATTTGGAAATCTGTCTACACTGGACTCTGGAATTGCCCTCTTGTTTACACTTTGAAAAGAAGTGACATGATATTCAGTAGAGGGTATGTTCAGGGTCTAGGGTGTTACCAAGCCCTAGACTCTGAGCGACTAACATTGCAACTTTGGTTTTCTCCTGTGCTCACTGTGAGCAAGTCTGGATGGTTTTCTTAGACACTCTTACCTTTGCCTATTTTCCAGACAATTGGGATGTTTCTCAGGCAGAATCAACATGTTCAGGGTCTTTATTTTGAGTCTTTGTCTTGCATAAAAAGACATTGAATACCCCTGTTGTTTACAAATTGGGGTTATGCGCCCCAGCGCACACCAGTGTTTTAGTCTCTGCTGCTTGGCTTTTGTTTAGAAACTTGCTCCCTTTCTCCCCCATGTTTAGTTCTGCACCCCCAGACTTACCTCTCCCTGGTGGTATCTATTACCTGGCCTTTATAGTCAGTCACACAAGTTGCATAGAATTAGGAGATTCTTATCTGATCATTAATTGGGCCCAGAAGAAATGGGAAATGCTGCCTTGATTCATTAGAGAGAGAAGGATCCAGAGCCTTCGTTGGTTTCTTGTTACCATCACATCCCTGACTATACGAAACACCATGATGCAAAAGTCTTCCTAGAATTATCTACTTGCCTCCCCTCATTTTTACATTAGGATACTTTACTCTTTCGTTCAGATTAAAATTGAAGATGGCATTTATGTTATTTTATACAGGAAGACATTGCTCTGTAGGAATTTCTGTGTTGGCTTATGGCATGGTGAAATTGACCGTTCTGGGGTGGGAGCTAGAATTAGGAGCATGATAAAGCTCTTTGTTTGGGAGATCCCTTGGGACACTCAAGGTTGTCTTTTCCCTTGGTGCACGCTCGTCTCAGTCAGTAGCTTAAAATGTTTCATACTCCTCTCAGGTCCCTGAACACATTCTTACCCTGTAAAGTCCTGGTGACCATAACTTTAAAGTTAAATGGGTGAAAATTATCACAACTTTTGGTCACCATATCCCAACTCTAACCAATGACCTAGAGATGAAAGGCACCAGGGCCCCAGCTCCTGGAGGCTGCCAAATGCTCATCTTTGAACACCTAAAATGCAGTCTATCACAACTTGAGAAAATAGAGATCGCGATGCCATCCTGTGAGGGTGAATTTGGTTAAGTGGTCAGGTGTTCACATTCCTCGTCTAGCACACACTCCTGTTGTTTGTGTACACACTTATCTCCTGGATTAGGTGTTCAATCTTTTATATCTTTCCCTTTTACAAAAAAGTGATGCCTATAAAACAAGATCACGGTGATGTTAACAATGATCAGCATTGCATGTTTTTCTAAAATAATAAAAAAGCAACAAAAAAATAAGCTCAATGGTTGAGACCACACAGTAATAAATGTAGGGTTTTGTGAATACAATATACAGATTTTTAAAACATGTTTGTAGGTCCAATTAAAAAATGCAGATTTTTACTATTCTAGCACCTTTGCCTATTGTACTCCTAAAGAAAAGAGTAGTTGCTTTATTATTATTTTTAATTCTCACCCAAGGATGTTTTTCCACCACTTTTTCAGAGGGAGTGGAAGGGAGAGAGAGAGAAACACGGATGAGAGGGAGACACATCAGTTGGTTGCCTTCCACACGAGGGGATTGAGCCTGCAACCAAGGTTCGGAATAGAATGAGGTTCTGGGGCCGGAATGGAACCCAGAATCCTCCAGTCCGAGGGCCAACGCTCTAACCACTGAGCCAAACTGGCTAGGGCAGTGGTTGTTATTTTTAATTCGAAGGACTTGGCTATGCTGTGTGAGAAGCATTAACTTTAATGAAATGAAAAACATGTTATCGTTTTCAGCCCTTCTAACGCTCAAGGCTGAGAAGCTGGTCAATATAGAGTTTTTGAAAACAATGTAGAGCTAAGAAAGTGGGAGATGCAATTATTTATCTCTAATTAGGACAAAGCCTAATTCTTAGGCATTTTACAAATATACTTGCTGGCGAAAGGAAATACTTCACTGGGTCAAGAGTTTGGAGCCAACAGGGGAGGAAACTGGCATATGTGACAAGATTGCATCTTTTCCTTCCTCTGAGCCTTGGCATTTAGCACTTCTCAGAATACCTTCAATGGAAATTAATGGAAGGAGCAAAAGAGACACCCTAAACAGAGCTGGGCAAGGAAAAACCACAGCCGTATCCACTTCCCTGCCGACATTACGGAGCAAGAAATTGAGACACACAGAACTAACAAGGGAGAGGAGAAGAGGAAGCCTGGGGGGAGACAGAAGGCTGGGGGAGAAGAGAGTAATGGATAGCGTGGGGCGCAGAGCCGGAAAGAGGAGAGGTTTCAACACCCCAACAAAGGTGACCGAAAATGATGAAAAAGTCTTTTAAAATCCCATCTGCAACCCAGTTCAGTTGTATTTACTTTCATTTGAAATAGGCCTTAAGTTAGAACTATCTTGACAATACAGAGACCCTAAAGGTAAGGTAGAAGCAAACAATGATAATGCTAGCATTTAAATTATTAAATGACAGCATTTCATACTTCACACTCTCAACTTTGTCAACTTGAAAATATCTCTTATAGAAGTGGCTCAGAAGCATTTGCAGGGCCCTTAATTAAGATTCAGCCAGGGAGAGGTCTAAGTGAACCGACCTGGGCTGAAAGTCCTATTTATTTTTGCAATCCTGTTAGCGGTGAATTGTTCTACCATTGGTTATCTCAGGTTAGTCGGGGACACGGGGAGGTTGCCGACTGGAAAACTCGAACATGCCCTGGAAGGGCCTAAGAGAATGTGTAGCTCCGACAAGAAAAGCATAACCCTTATCAAGGAGGACTGTTACCATGTGTAGAAGCTAAGCGCTCTTCCTGTAAGACTGTCACATCTGCTTTCAGTCCCCGCGCCAGAGGGTCAGAGCTCAATCACAAGCCTGTGGCACCCCCTGCTGGTTAAAAGCCCATGCTCACTTTGTTACTTTCCCCGAGCTGAACGGTGCCATCATTTCACACTTCTTTTAACATTCTATATGAATTTAATTATCATTTGTTTGGACTTCATTTGTTACAGAGCAGAGACAGTTTATTACAGATGTTCACATTTTATGTGTTTTTTTTCTTCTTCATTGTTTCCACCCACCACCAGTTACTTCTCAAGATTCATCAAAGGCTTCAAGGATCTTCCACCAACCCGCCAGGCCTCAATCTTTCTTCAGCACGGCTTTTCGATGAGCATGGTCAAGAAATTAAGAATCCACTTCTGCTGAAAAATGAGCAGAAAATTTGGGTCTCTTATGGTCAAGCATACAGGTAGGCGCAAGGCATTCACTCTGTCTGTCCTCTGTCTCTCCTGGGGCAAACTAATGTAAACGGAGAGTGGAGAAGCCAAGCAGCACCCTTTATGAAAATTTTTAAAGATCTTGAATCCCAATAAAATGTCAGGGTGTTTTTTTTGTGTGAGGGAGCATTGTTTGTGGAATATGACATCTTTCTCTCTCTCTCCCTCTCTCTGACTTTTCCGTCTTAATGCCTTGTCATAGTTCTTGAAGTCTGCCTGTCAGCACAGCGAGTGGGATTTGTTCATGTCTGAGTAGTCACCTTAATGATAGCAGATGGAAACGCCACGGGGGGCCCAAGCCCATCACACTGTCATTGTCGCACACTGCCCTGACCTGCTTCCACTCCTCTATTTTTTTGTCCCTTTTTAAAGGAGAAATGGATGGTAATTGAAAAGGATTTTAAGCAAGATTTATGAAGCTGTAGACAACAGGATTCCCACTATCTCTCTATGTTTTCACAAATAAAGCCTTAACCTTTTAAGCACCAAAGACAGGACAGCTAAAGATAAATTGGTAAAGCTTGTAAGCTCTATCCTATCAGAGTTATATTTCTCAAAGGCACCTTGTATTACCCCACAATAATTACTGGTTATTGCGGAGCATTGTGTAAATTTTTGTAGATTGGTAAATTCCTGCATACAATTATTTGCATTTCTGAAAAAAGAAAAAGGCTGCAGTCGGCAGGCACTGATGAGCTGGGCTGTATGTGGAATATCTTGAAGATTAATGCATATTTTGACAGAACACATCCAAATGAACTCTGAAACCGCTTGTCAGGAAACTTAAACACACTTTTCTGCCTTCTCTTAATTTTTTTTTTAGCTCTTTATCTGTAGAACAGAATAGAGGACATAGAGGGGAATTATTGCTTCTAGAGTATAATTGATCATAACTATAATGAAAATAGCCTGGACAGAACTAGAGGCTGATTGGATTTGCCATATATTCTAATAGTAAAAATTTCAAGTATGGAACTAAGTCTACTCAGAAGTCCATGAAGGTTTTATAAGAAGTTGGTAGGATTAGTTTGGGTACCATATTACAAAATTCTATTTCACCTGACCCAGAAGAAAAAACTTAAAATACTTAATAATTCTAATGCCGTGTAATTTATAGAATTAAAAATATATGTAAGGAATGCTGTTTTTTCCCCAAAGGCAGATTTCAAAATATATTTTAATTGCACTGTGAGAATTTTTTTTCATGGTAAAAATAGCAATGAATTTTATTACAAGGAGTGGCTTTTAGTAAAACGTGTGTCTAATAATTTCTTTTTAAATATCACTGTTAAAGTAGTGACTAATTTTGACGTTTTTAATAATGTTTGCTGTAATATTGCATTTTAATAATATCAAACACCTGTTTTTGGTTAATTGGATCATATTTGTGGAATAACTAATAGAACGCTAGGTATCTGAAATAGTCCAAAATCAACTGAAGATTGTAGCTGGAAGAGTCCATAATGTGTATATTTGCTTGTACATTATTGTTATTTTAACGGATAATGTATTCTTTTCTGGTTTGGAATCCAAAATGAGGCTCCATTATAGCATTTGCTACTATTGGAACTTCTAAAATTTGTGTCTAAAAAGTTATTTCATCTAGCTTAAAATATATTGAGAAAATGTGCAATATGTGCTAAATAACTGATACTCATTTTCAGGGAGTAATTCTAACTTGCCTAGCATATGCTGATATAGGGGCCAGGTTACTCATTTACAAAAGATTATATTGCCAATATCTGCTTCAACTTTGAGTCCTTTAACTATTTTTCTCCCAATTTTTATTTTGAAAAATATCCAATCTGCAGAAAACTTGGAAGAACTGTACAACGAATACCTATATGTCCTTCACCCAGGTTCAACAATCTAAAGAGTCTGCCACAGTTATTTTATCTCTCTGTTATCTTCCTTCTCTCTCTTTTGAATGGTTAGAAATTAATCTCAGACAATCATTCAAGTTTTACTCCTAAATGCTTCAGGTCACAAACCTGAAGAATAGGATATTCTTCTATATCACCACATTGTAATATCTAGCACAGTCAACAATAATGTGATGTCACCTAATACACAAGTTATAGTCAAGCTACCCAAAATGTGCGTTAGAGCTTTTTGTAACCTGGTATCCAAATTAGCTTCATGTATTGCATTTAGTTATTTTCTTTATTCTCCTATCTTTTGTTTTGTTTTTCATGACATTGATTTTTTTTTTTTAAAGTTCAGCACTTTTCTTGTAGAATGTCCCATATTTCGGACTTGTCTGACTGTTTTCTCACGATTAGATTCAGTTTAAATATCTTTTATAATACGCAGGTGATGTGGTTGAGCCATAAAATTATAAAGTTAAATAGCAAGTGTTTGTCACCAATTTAGGAAAAAAAATGGCTCATCTTGGACATAGTGGCCATTCTTATCTAAGATCTGTTTTCTTTTTTATTTAATTTACTTTATTTTCATCACCATTTATCCCCCCTATACCATCTGCCACCTCCGCCCGCCCCCTCCCCACCCAGTCACCATGGGTGTCCTTGTCCATGAGTTCTTTCTCTCTTTTTTCTTGTTTTGCTCGATCCCTCCACCTCTCCAAGTGGCCCCCCACCAGAACTGTCTGCCTGCTCTCTATCTATGAGTCTGTCTCTATTTAATTCTCAAATATGTAAATTAACCTAAAACAATGCACCTAACAGTATGTAATATAAAAAATTAAATTAGTATAACATTTAGTTAACCCACAAAAAAAAGGTGGTTTTTAGTCAAATCTTAAGGATTCATTTAACTATCAGATCCAAAGATTATTATTGGTGTATTGCATCGTAGTTATACATTGATGAACATCATTTAGTTATACATGATATAATTATTAAAAGATGAACATTATATGAAAAATTGGTTGTTTTTCTCCACTAAATACTTTGTTTTTTTAATTGAAATTATTTTTAAAATTATCATGTGTTGTAGCTATCCTTGGCATATTCTAAATCAGCCAAATAAAGTAAAATGCATTTTAGTATTTCTGAATTTTATTAGATACTGATATTTTATTCTTTATTATTTATTTGTACTCAAATTTCAATGTTTGCATAATTTTGCAGATAGCTTTGATTTTGATTTTATTTTTTTCAGATCTCCACTGAACCCTGTTTTGAGTTTGACCTTTGACCAGGTGACTGTATTTGCCAGAGGTGGCGTTACAATTGCATATAAAACCTTCTTGGATCTCAGTGCTGTTCTGCTACCTAGATGTGACAGGTAAATTAACATGTGCTTGGTTAAAGTAATCTGAATCACCTAAATTCAGATTTTCCAGAGTGAGAGACTGAAACACTAAAAGATGTTCTTTGAATCATCTTACATAAACAGTTATTTACTTTATTGACTTATTTCATGACATAATGAGCTAGTGCCTAAAAGACTTATCATTAACTTTCTTTGAGTTTTTTAAAAAACTATATAAGGCAATGAACAGATTATAGTTTCAGCTTTGCAGAGGTAATTTTATTTGAAATGTAGAAGCTGTTTTTAGTGGTTTCTAAATTAATAGTTTTGAATGGAGCCATTAAAATATTAAACAATGTTTATTTATATGAATGTTCATATTTAAGGATGTCATTTGATGACGATAAATTGAAGACAAAAACAATATGCTGGAGGCTTGGAGGGATAGTGAGAAGAGCAGGAGTTGGAGGGTCTGGGCATCTTGCCCCATATCTGCCTATGATTGTCCATGAGCAGATGGGTGTCAGTTTCTCATCTGTAAAAAAAATGAAAGCATTCACAGAGTGCTGACCATAGTCCAGGCACAATTCTAAATGAATTGGGTAAGACTCTATTTAATCCTCAAAACAATTATTTTAATCACATCATTACCTGTTATCCTATTATTACTCCATTTTATAGAGACAAATTTGAGGCACAGATAGGCAAAGGAATTTGCCCAGTCAGACAACTGGTACATGATAGAGCCAAAATTCTAACTCAGATGGTCTCTCTCAAGAACTGAGGGTTTAACCACTATTCTCAACTGTCTAATAGAACTTTCTGTGAGGATGAATGTTAACATACTTTGTGACTATTGAGAACTTGACTAATGTGACTGAGGAACTGAATTTTTAATTTTGTTGAAATTAAATAAATCTTAATTTAAATAGGAATATGTGGCTAATGGCTACCATATTGGACAATGAAGCAGAAAACTGATCCTATGTTGGGTTATGTGACCTGTCTATAAGGTCTTATCTAGCTTTAATATTTTTTAATTTAACAAATTACAATTTAAGATACAGGTGAAAAGACTGAAGTAGAGGGCAGATCCAGAAAACCAGTCTGATGAGGTCACTTAGTCTAGTGTCAACCTTCTGCTAAAATACGTCTACAGAGACAGACTTTTTGGTGTTCCTTGGTAGTTGTTTAAACACCTCTAGCCCCCAATGACTGCCTGTCACTTTTCAGGCAAGGTTTGAAACTCTTTTGTCCTGTTCTCGTTTTCTTTATAGATAGAAAATAACTCATCAGCATGCTTTTTTATAGGCATTTGCATTTATGAGATTTATTTCATGTGCAATAATCTTTCTCTGAGCTGTTAAATTTGCCTAGATCCTTTCCCTTCCATTTTTAGCTAGGAGTTTAATTTTAAATTCATGTATTCCTTCTTGCTTTTACTTCCCAGGTGCAATAAATATTGTTTTAGTGAGTGGATTCAAATTAGATCTAGCTCCTTAAAAATAACAATGTGAAACTGCCCTTATTGAACACAAACTAGTTTGAAGATAATTTACTTAGTATTTGAATTCCATTTGAATTTTCTTTCTATACTCTAAAGTGTAACATTTGATTTCTTAATAATTGTACTCCTATTTATATTTCTCAGAGCATTGAAAAATATACTATTACCAGCCCCAGAACTGTTTTCTGTTGAAGAGCAGCATGCTCTATACTCTGTCTTAACATACCAATATTGAGCCAAGTCATTTCCTTTAGGGTAGGGATTTGCTTACTTTTAAAACAAGTGATTTGGCTGAATTAAGATTGATGTTCAATACCTCCAGTTTGTGGTTTGTCCATGTGCCCTTTAGACTGTGCTGCCCTTAAGAAGTTCTTAAAAATACCAAACTATAACCCAACTATTATAAGTATAAAAACATGCTTTATTATTCATAGTCCACTGTATTTAGAATATAAATTTAACAGTGAAGATGGCCTCAACTATGAGTGATCCTGTAAGAATGAAAGTCATTTTTTGTGTGTTTTTTTGTACTATTAATAGTTAATAGTTAATAAGGTAAAAATTTAAAGCCTTCTCTTTCCCAACTATAGATACCAAAGCACTTTACAAATTTTTGTTTAAAAAGATTATGAACTGTACATTGCTTTTTCTCTCACTAGCAGAGTATAAAGTGCATAAATTATTATACTAGTAGATTAAAGAGTATTATAATTAAATACATTTTATTCTAGCAAAAATAATGAAATGTTTCACTTTGCTTAGTTGGGACGTTTGTGAGGGATTTCCAGCAAATTTTAATGCCAGCAGTCAGCAGATACCTGATCAATTTGAAAAAGTGGACTTGGAGAACCATTTCCTGCAGAGCAAGGTCAGAATTATATGTCATAATTACTGTGGGTAGTTTCTGTGCTAGACTCTCAGTCAATACATGGTAACTGAGTGGATATTTGGGAAAGTTTTTGAAAACTATGAGTTATTTTACAAGTGTTGGGGCAAGTATTATTTTTTACTTCCTGTTATTAAGCACTTTAAAAATGGATCAATATATAGCATTTCTGCTTGAAAAAATTCTATCTGAATTCTGTCATTCAAGTGCTGTTTTTAGCATATTTTCTCTATACCTACTATACTAATAATAAGTTTGAGTTACTTAAGAACGCCTTTAAGATGGCTGTTCTCTCTCTGAACTTTAGGATCTGATCTATTTGCTCTATGGGTTGATATATCTAAGGAACATGAGTTCTTTAGAAAACCCAATTCATGACAAGCCATTCCAGAAGGTCTTTTTATTAATTTACACTTAGGTATCCTGCCAGTAAAGAATTTTGTTCTCCAACTGAGCTATGAAAGGCACTTTAAACATGTCTTCAAAAAAGGAATAACTTTTTTGTTTTTCTCAGTTGGGAAACTATATAGAGTTGTTCACTTCAGTTGTATAAGCTTTAGTTTTTGAACTCATGAAATCAAAACCAAAAGGCACACACAGAGATAGAGATGCCCAAAGAAAGCAGGGCTTCCTGTTAACTGGTTGGGACTTTATATTTCCAGGAGACGGTGTAAGAAGCACATTGTCCTAAACTATTAATTTTGAATTTCTCCATGCTGCCCATTCAGTCTATTAGGTCAAAATTTATACTGAAAATATTTGTTGTTTCAATGTGTATATAAATCTAAATAGTATAATTACAAAAATAGAATAAAGGCAAGAATTATTTCTAAGCCTGCCTGTTTTTGAGCAAATTTAGAAAATAAATGTAAGTTGAGGCACCAAGAATGAATGCCTTTTATGTATTATATTCATCTGACCTTTAGATTTATTTACCATAGTTCTGATCCTGCCGGCATGCCTTTTTAGGGTTTTGCTCTAACATCATTTTCCTGCTCAGAAAACTCGTCTGCCTGGCTGTTGCCTACGGGAGCTGCATAGCCTCGCCTGGCCCTCGCTCGCCCATCCCCACGGCTCTCCCTCAGTCTTGCCCACTCTGCCTGCCTTTCCCGCCTCCGTGCCCTTCACTACAGTCGGAGCTAATCAGCTGTGTCCCATGACATGCTTCTCACTTTGGTATACTGTGCCGGGACGTATGTTGTTCTTTGCCTAGGAAGTATCTCCCACCATGACTTGAGGTGTTTTTTTTTGCCTTAGGCTTTATCCAATGACCTCTTCTTCCATGAAGCCTTCTCGGATCCCCCAGAGACAATTAACCTCGAATTCCTTGCATTTGCAGAAGGCCTCTGAAAACTGTTCCTAGAGCCCGTGCTTTGGGACGGACTGTCACTTGCTCTTGGGCCTTTCTCCATTAAAGTGAGGATTCCCCAGATGCAGACCTTGCGTTACTGGCCCTTGCGTCCTGGAGCGCTGGCACGGCGCTGAGTGTAGGGCAAGGGCACGATGTATTTGTGATGAAGGGTGTTAAAATTCAGCTGTAACCTGTCTTACGAGGCTCCCTGTTGTCTAATAGGGAGTTAGCCAAGCCAGATCGTTCGTTTGCTGGTTTCTGAAAGCACTCGCGATTTCCGTTACCATGTGCCCGTGGCCCCCGCTGCCTGGAATCAGCCCCCCTTTCTTGGCCGGCGCCCCAGCCTCCTCCCTCCCTGTGCCGCACCCCAGCCCCTGCGGGCCTACAGCCGCGGTCAGCAAGCGCTGGCGGAAACCCCGCGCCTCGTGCTGGCCTTGTCTGACTTGTGCCTGTTTCATAAGCTCTTTCTTTACCCCAGCTCACTCCCAAGCTGGATAGGATGTGGCCTCCGTAACCCCACTGCATCCATTCTGTGCCACTTACGAAGACGTGGAACTTGATGCCGTTCCTCTCACAACATTTTTTTTTTTTTTGGTACAATTTGAAGTCAATTAGTGCTCCAAGTTTAGGCCTATTTCAGGTCACATTGGGATAAAAAGGGAAGAATGGTAGATTCCACTGGATGCTGAGATCAGATTATGAAAGGTCTTAATTTAATGTTAGGGATTCTGGATGCTGTTCTGTAGAAAACAAGGAGCCATTGGAAACATCAAGCAGAGGCAAGATCTGATTTGATCCTTGTGTTAGGGAGACAACTCGGGAGGTCCTTGTCTTATCCTTGCTGCTGGGTTAGACATTCCTTCAGGGCAGAGGGCATCCTGGTCATCCGTATCTCTGCCTCAGTAACTAGATGCTTAGACTTCTCTAAATGCAATTGAATTCACTGGTTCATTCATTCATTCAACAGAAAGCAGCTCGAACCCGAAAGAAAGTTGAATGGTAAAGAGTTATTACAGGAAAAGATTTCAAAGGAGGCTCCTCTCTTTGATTTTAAGTTAAAGTAGGACTTCAAAAGAAATCTATATTTTTTAATGTTGAAAAATGATAGAATAACAATCCACAGTCATTGCATCATTATGAATTGATTCTAGTGATTCCGTGAGAGTGAGAAAACACTCATCTTAAATAAAGGTTTGTGCACTATTGTATTTTTGGAAGGAGAAATTGGTTTCAAATAAAATTTCAGTCCAACCAAAATAGTAGTATAAGAAAACAAAGGTTTGATCAACTGGCAAGTAAAGAGAAGCTTTCAAAGAAAAATAACCTTTTCTTAGTTCTGAAACCTTTAAAATCCTTTCACAACAATGTCTTCAATTATATACAGAGAGATGATTAGTGCACTGGAAATATTAATTTAATAACCTGAAAAAGAGCACTTTTAAAGAGAGATTCAGGCAGAGGTGATGGGTATCTACAGGGCATCTTATGGTAGAATCACGATGCTTGTTGCAGTAAAGATACTAAGAGGATTACCACAGGGGTAGAGAGGAAGGAAGCAAAAGCCAATATTCACGATGGGTACGTTTTGAAATTGGCTTGAGACAGAAATATCAGTGCCCAACCCCTCACTGTTCGTTGAAATCTCTTATTGACAAGTAAAACCTTCCCTGCAGAGAAAAATTGGGAACACATAATCCCTATTAGTGTGGGAGACAGATATAACCCTGACAATTACAACCTGTTGCTCTTTTATCCATTTAAAAAAAAAAAAAAGATTTGGAATCTACAGCAATGAAAAATTTGGCAAATACATCTTTCAACAGTTCTCTATTGTTCCTTAAATTGGTGACATTTTTAGATTGCTCCAGTTTAAGGGCAGTAAAATTATATGTTGCCACGAAATGGATGACATTTAAACTTCATGATAGTTAATATAAAAGAAAAAAATAATGAGAAGAATAGCTTGAGGAGAGCCTGGTTATGGAAAAGTGTAGTAGAAAAATGGATAGTTTAGTGTTTGGCAGGTCATATATTTTGCCAAAATGCAAAGGAAACTTATTTTGATCCTAGTCTTTCAGCATGATCAGACATCATTAGAACATTAGTGACAACTCTCAGTATGGAAACAGCAAGAAAAATACCAAGTTGTAATTTTAGAGTTATGGCATACTTGTTACAAGTTAGCTTGTAAATTCAGCAGTCATGGATGCTAGCAGAATGTATTATTCTGTTTTGCACAAAGGAGGCTGGGAAAGGCAAACAAGTCTTCACGGAGAGCAAGTCATTGAGCAATAATATTTTCTACAAATAATTTATATTGTGGAAAATACTAAATTTTAACTTAAATTTTGAACTGATTGCCATTAGAATAGGATGCAGGACTTTAAAGAAAATCCCAAGTCCCTTCCATGTTTTTAGACCAATAATTAGAAGCTTTTTAAGGACTGCTTACCTAGATCTTGAAGTTGTCTTATTTGCTCGCTGTTATTTTCTGCTTTCAAACTTTTTCAGTTTTTGCCCTTAGAGGGGGGTGGATTGATCAGCTATAGATCAGGGAATGGAAACAGTAAGAGGAATATCAGAGATAGGAGGAAAGAGATTTTAGAACATTTCTTATAGTTGTGGTTTAAATTTATATATCAAATTATTTAACTTGGCCCTAAATTGTCTATCAAAAGTATAAAATTTTATAAAATTTTTATGTAGCAAGCAACTTGTTTAGAATGAAGATTATGATTGATCTATGAGCTTTTCCTTTCAAGAAAAATTTTATTGTTTTGTATTTTGTTCCTCAGTAGACCTGTAAGAAAAGACAGGTGGTTCCCTTATTGTTTTGAATTTGCACAGGAATATTGAAGGCTGCTCCACTTTCATAAGTGATTTGGAAAAAGAAAATTAAACAAGAAGTTTTACTGGCCCAGCGCTTGTATGTATCATTTTTATCACTGGCAGCTTCTAGATCAGCACAGTTTATTCAGACCAGAAATGTCATAGTGGTCATTTAAAGGGAGCTATGTATATAGGTGTTCAAAAGCATAAAACAGAAATTCCTGTTTTGATTCTCAACAGGACTTAAAAAGATTTTCTAATGACATTATGATGGCATGTATTTAGAAGGCAGTCTCAACATAAATGCTTTTGCACACACCTGTTTTTGCACCAACACACACCTACACACACACACACACACACACAGGGCATATGATGTTGCAGATTGTCAGAGCACTTTTGTTTTTCAGAATTTCAATTTTCATAGGATTGGTTTTTTTGTTGTTGTTTTTTAATCTTTACCACCTTCATAAATGTTTGGTCTAATGCTAGGCTGTCAGATTAAATTAAAAAGAAAAAAGAAAGTAAAGTCACGGAGAGAAATTGAATGGCCATTGTCAGTTTTAAGTGTCCTCAGACTTGGCAGAATTTTTAATTTTTTTTTTCTATAACATGAAATGAAGCTGAGGTAGTGGCCCTGGCTGTGTCTGGTCTGTGTAGAATCACTTGGGAACTGTCCAGCAAAATCTCTCTCAAAGAACAGCATGGTGTTAATACTGGGTGCCAACCCACGACAGACACAAAGGACCCCTCCGCTC